TGTTTTCCCGCACCCTGTAGGACCGCAAACGATCGACGTCCAGGGATGTTTCTAGCGCACGTCCATTTCGAAGACTGTGCAAATTGCCGCTTGTATAACTCTTAAATTAAACTGTTTTTGGTTTGCGACGATGAGCTCACCATCGCGCGTTGAGCCCCGCGGCGGCCGCGTTTTGCCGCAAAAATCAGCTAATTTTCGTCGCGGCAACGGTGAGCTTATTCTGGATGATTGAAAAGCTGTTTTCATGAAAAATCAGCTTATTGTCGCGCGCGCAAAAGAAGCTCGTCAAACGCGCGCCTCAATATAAGCTTATAGCTTTTTGTTGAGGTTATATCAAAAAGTTTCTAAGGATAAAAGAAAACAGAGATCGGAAAAAAGCAATCTTTTAATTTTGTTTTTAATAAAAATTTAATAACACTAAAATATTACGTTTTACAAAATGTGTTTTTACATATTGCTTAATTTACTAACATGTACAGAAAATCTCGCATTTTATAACCTTATTTTTACACACAATTGTTAAAATAACTTATATATTTTTCTTTTATTGTACAAAGCGCTTGCTTACATTATGACTTATTTGGACGGAAAACATATACATATATATATACAATTTTACCTCTTACTAATACGTTAAAAATATACAAACTATTTACAAGAGAATGCGCGGAAAAAAGTCTTATTCTAAGTAGCCGTATGGAACGAAGCGTCGCTCGTCGATAAATCTAGGCTTCAGCAAAACCGGCGAGCAGATTTTTGATTCGTCCCGCGTCACAACCTCGTGAAACGCGGTGCGACGAATCGCTCTAAAATGCAGATTTATCGACACATTTTCTTCTTTTCTCTCTCTTCTCATTAACATTTTCCTAACGCCTATTGAAATTAATTATGCGGGAGGTTGCGGAATTGAGAGTTATTCCCTTGATTTTACACACCTCCCGCGCGCCACCGTCCGGAGTACGAACTACGTGCGCGTAAAATTTCGGGCCACCGGATACAAACGACTCGATGTAACTACCACGGCCGTAGCCTTCGAGCTCGACCGTCATATCGCCCAGGAAATTTCTCGTACGCGGTTTGTATTTGCCGGGTTCTCCGCTGCTCACACATAAATGTGAGCCATGGTCGTGCATTCCTTTGACTATATAAGTATGGACTGCTAGTTCCCCCCACTTTTCCCATTTAAGCAATGTATAAGCAGCGTAGGTAACATAGATAAGAAATAGGCACCGCCTTTGGGCCAAAAAGCGGGAAATTCAAATATAGTTCGAGAAAGTAAGTAAGGT